TAATCGTCATACGGGTTAAATACAATACTAATAAAAGGTATAAATCAAAAAGAGTAAAACACACTAATTAATAAACTGATTATAAGTCTAAATACAATGGTTATAAAGTCACAAATATCATGGTTATAAATCAAAAACAAGGGAAAGGCTGCCAATCGACTCATTTTTCTCAAAACGGTCCGCTGAGGGTAACCCTTCGCTGCACTGTCTCCGTTACTAAGGTTACAAACTCTATATCAAAAGGTCAAAAAAACTAAGGCGTGGCGGTGTAACCAAGCGATCAGCCAATCGCTGCAGTCGACAGCTTGATCACGTGATTACCAGAGATGCGTCTCTCGGTTAAAGCATTGCAAAGCGGTAACTAATAAACAATGAATAAAAAGCTATTAATCAAACTCCTGTCATATACGCTTATAAACTTCAACTGAACTCACAAGTCGTTAATCTAAACAAAAGTCATACGGCGTGGAAACGGAATGCAAAGACAATGTCGCTTTCATAACACATTACTCCTCTGGCAATTAAAGACGGGAAAAAGCTAAAACTATAGACGCTACTTAGTTACATGTAATCCTGTCAATCATGAACAAAAGCTTGCGTTATCAAACAATACATATATAAGCGCACCAAACTCTCATCCCAAAAAGACATTAAAAAACGTTACAAAGGTGCTCTAAACTCAAAAAGCGTCAGAAGTATTCCGGAAAACAACACGTAAACAAAAACAACTCTTAAAACGTCGATATCTCTGTACATCGTCAAATCTCAAAACTCTGAAAAACTCGTGGGGGCATCATTCCTCCCATCATAATCCTTACTCATAAACTAATTAAAACTCCATAAAACTCTACAAAACTTAAAACACTGTGTTGCAAATACTTGTCCACTGAGGCGCGCTTAAATCGTTATAAAGGACCTCGAACGTCACTAAATATCATTTCAAAACAAAGATCTGGGCGCTTACATACATACAATTCGACACCACAAAAAAAAAACACGGTAAAAACGATAGGAAAAGCAAGCAATACATTACATTACTGAGCAATAGGGTCAGGATTGTGGAAAAGAGTTCAACGTCTTGAGTTACACTGTCGATATGCATACTGCACTACTGTCCTCATTTTACTGTCACCCCATGGACGTGTTAGTACGTTCATGCTCACCCCTACATGACGTCACATATGGTACGGCCTTTTATCATTTCACGTTGTTAGATATTATGGATATGATTTATACCTTAATTGTCAAAATACAGGTATAAAGAAACATAATCAATTTTACTGGATACAAATTACGATAGTAGATTTTATATTGGACAAATTGCATATTTCAAAAACAGCGGATTTGTTTTCGTTATTTATTAAATTTTTAATTTAATAGTATTTTAATAAGTGAACACTACCGCTCTACGGAAACATACTATACATACATTGATTGCATGGACTGAAATACCGCGCTGATGCATTAGGAAACCTACGGCGACACGTTTCAACACAATCTACTAGTCTCTATGTAATATTTACAATTATCACAATGGGTTGTCACTTATAAACATTCTTGAATAAATTAAACTAATCGGCGTATTGTAATATGTAAACACTATCCAGCTACCATGTTTGTATTTGTCAAACATCTCCAAAACATGACATATATGTGTACTGTGGTGACAACATACCACATACCCGTGTGTATATGATAGAAACACGATTCACGAACATTGTGATAGGAAAAGTATTTCATTACGGCTGTGTTGTCAAATTCACTTGTATAGTTCACACACTTGATAAGTTCTCAAATTTATATTTTTTGTGCCAGGCGACAGTTCCAAACATTGAATGTCAATTTAGTCTTTCCAGGTTTGTATCATGCGCAATTTGCCGAGTCTGTAGCTTATTCGCATAGTATAGAGGGTGACTTTTCATGTTCAACCCAAGGTAAGATTTTGAACTACCGATGACGAGTCCCATGCCACAACCACTATGTCACCGATGACCGGCGTCTGTTCTCAAACTTAATACCTCATGAACTCGCTTCTATGTTTATATTCCACAAAATTCTCGATTTAAATCTAGATACGAGCAGCCAAGAAGAATGTAACGCCCTCTTTGTGGAGAACCCAGTGGCATGCTTATGGGACTCCAATTATGCTTGGTGGCGTTTTGGAATTTCTCAGCAGTGTATTTACATTCATTGGTCCAGTTGCCGTCGGTGGCGTGGTGGCTTATGCCACACGTGTCTACTACTCCACAGATGAAGACGAGCAATCTGTCGATGACGTAAGTTGTTAATTGTATTTTGCATCCACGATTGGCGTGATCACGGGATAACCCCGGCGAACACGCATATTTTCTCTAATCATCTCATCTATAATCCCATAAACCAGAATCCAGATCAAATTCTAGAATATTTTCACAATTTTACCTTACAAAAAACGTGATCTTTGCTTGTATTTGTATTTGTTGCAGGGTAAACGATATGTAACTGTGAACGAGTTTATCAGCAATGGCTTTGTATTAGTGGTTATCATGTTCGTCTCGCTCATATTAAAGTCAATAACATTGCAGTACAGTATGTTTATTATGACACTAGAGGGTATGCACGTACGTACATCACTACAGGTGAGCAAGCACAAACCTTAACGTTAAATATCCTTCTAAGATTCTACTCAATATACATTTTCGTTTTGTGACTACCTCTTACCAGACATTCTCTTGTAGTAGCTAAACAAATTACAATAGGTTCCATGACCATTGGTCTTGCTTAGAATCGAATATTGTATCGACTTTAACTGTGACATTGCATACTGTATCGTAATTTAGTAATCACTAAGTGGTTATGTAAATTAGCATTCATCACATTGTATTTCCTGATATCAGTCAGCTTGTTTTATTATTTCGCAATACGTCTGCTACAACATGCTTGTAAATTTGTTGAGAATACAAATATACAATTGAGTTCAATTTCACTGTTGATTTTACTGAAGTTTGAAAACCAGGTGCAATTGTACTCAAACTGTTGAGTGTGGACGTACGCGGAAATCAATATATTTAGACAGAGATGGTTGTTATAATATAATTGAAGGGACTGGGGAAAAAAAACATTAGTAGGAAGTAGAACGTAGTCTCGTGCGAGTGACATTTTAATATTCATTTCAACTGAAATAAAACCTATGACACCATGGCAACTCAAGTAACTATTAATAGTATATAACGTTTGCATGTTATTGTGTTTTACATTGTGTGTTTCTTTCACAGAACCACGTGTATGAGAAGTCTATGCGCCTGTCTAGTTGGACGATGACCGGTGGTGACATGACTATGGGTCTAATTACCAACCACATGTCTGTCGACGCAGTTTCAGTCTATTGGTTTTACATGTTGTCGCACCTTCTGTGGGGTATACCATTCCAGGTACAATAATGTCTACACGAGATCGCTGTATTAAGAGAATTGTATTTGCATCGTTTATTAATTTAACGCTAATGTTTTTACATCATCAACAGTTGGTAATGATCCTGCTATTATTATACTTGCAACTGGGGTATTCTGCACTGATTGGTGCGTCCGTATTCTTGATAGCAACGCCAATTCAATTCAAACTTGGTGAATTAATGTCGAAAACCCAGAAACAAGTGTTGGTATGTATATCACGTCGTCAACAGTGTTTACTTTAAAAAAAAAAAAACGCTCGTATTATCTCTTAGTCACCGGGAAGTTATAATTCGTATTGAAAACTGATTACACCGTTTATAGATCACGCCCTCTAGTGACAACTCCTTTCAGTGACGTAATGCACGGACCCATTCACGGCGTCGTTAATGAGGGCACAGACGTGTTTCGTCGGTAGAGGGCGAGATGTATTGAAAAGTTATTGATTCATACCTGTCAATATTGTCATTAGGTACTTTCGGATGACCGTTTAAAAAAATCGAACGAACTACTACAGGGGATGAAGTTACTAAAGTTATATGGCTGGGAAAAAATGTTTTGCGTAGCCATCGAGTCCGTGCGTAAGAGAGAAGTAAGAAAAATGATGAAGTTCGCTGTTTTCCAGGTCGCGACAAGTAAGTTTGTTTAATGCATTATATTGTTTGACGACACAGAAATTAAACAAATATTTGTTTTTTCAAATACAGTGAATGTTTTTTTGTTTTTTACAGATTTCATGACTCAAGCTACACCAATGATAGTCACGTTAGTCGTAAGTATTTGTACAGAGAAAACAACTCCATAGTTTTAATCTCCCAAATTACCAATGTTACTCTCAATAATGTGAACTATATTAGTCATTTGCAGTATATTCCTTGGTGAGCCCCGTTCCGCTGACACCAGAGCTAGCATTCTCTTCACTTGCGCTGTTCCAACAACTTATTATTCCGCTGTTTCTGCTCCCGTTGACAATTAATTTCACGGTAAATGCACTCGTCAGTGTGGGCAGATTGCAAAAGTTTTTCGTCGCTACTGAAATTGAAGAGAATGACGATGGTCGACCTGTATTGTGTTCAGCGGAACAACAATTTCTTGAGGAGGGAAGCGATGATGATGATTTGCTGGACATTGCTCAAATTAAAGTAAGAATAGTTACCTTAGTTTTTCGAAATAATATTTCTATTTGGGTTCTGCATTTACGTGTCTGTACCATCGTTCATTTATTTATCAGTATGCAGCGGCTGCCGCCAACTGGGTACTATATGTTATATTTCGGATTATGGAATTGTACGTAATCGTCGGACCGGTCCAGCAAATTTACATAACCTAGTACACAACACAGATCGATTGACAACTTAATGTAAATTGAGAAACATTGATTCATGTATTGAAACGTGTACCCAGAAATTAGTATTTTTTGAAAAATTGGGTACATTATGCTCCAGGCATGGTACCTCCAAAATATCAACTATGATTAGGGTCATGATGAATTATTATTGTACTCTCAAATTTGAACCAAGGCCTCTAATTTTCTGTCAGAATATCCGTGGATACAAGAATGCATCTGCATACGAACGGGTGTCGCTTATATCACCCGATGACAGCGATGATGATGAAAAACCGGGTAATAGTATATCAAACGGCGGGGGCTATGGTGCAATTGGCCAGACAAAGTTGTCATGGGAACGTAAACCACACAATGTGCTTCCAGATAACGTAGCCGTGATGGTGAGTAATGTTCGATTGAATGAGACTACATCTTTTACTATAACGATACATATCACATGACGCATATTATGCTAAAAAACACGAAACGCCTTAATTTTGCAGATGAAAGATGGATCATATTCTTGGGACGTAGATCATCCCATCTGTGCTATTAACGATGTGAATCTTGCCATTCCTGCAGGTAAACTCCCGTAAATGATAACAAAAATCGAATTTATTCAGTTCAGAATCAGCATCATCCTGACTCCAAAAGAACACACCATTGACAATTGGCGGTATTTGGTCGATTCGCCGTGGTTTTTAGACAATGGTCAATGGTTTCAAAAACATTGAACGATTCCTGTGCATTAATGCATATTAAAGGGCGGTAGTCGCCGCGCCATGCATGCTTGAGATATACGAGTCAATTATAAACAAAGATGGCGACTTTGGCTGTTGGGCAGATCAAAGAGTACAAACTGAGACGTTACCAAGGTATTTCTTAGGTGATTGGAAGGCATCGAGGGAGTGTCAAATCAATGTTTACCAACACAAATTTCGCACATGCCCAGCGCGACGACCACCGCCCTTTAAAATAAAGTATGGCTATTGATTATGGTGAATGTTTGATTATTTTAAATGTTTATTTTCCTAAAAACTTATTTTTTCTTATTGTTTTATCTTATTTTATTTTGTTAAAGGAAAACTAACCATGATAGTTGGTTCGGTGGGCAGTGGTAAATCCTCTCTCTTGTCCGCAATGTTAGGAGAAATGACAACTGTATCAGGCACAGTGCAATTCCAAAAGTAAGTTGCGTTTATTTATTTAAAACCGAAACAACTCAGCGGAGAAATTCCTTCTATTGTCTGGACCTTCCATTGTTGGCTTTCCCGGAATAAAATGAAGGAAAAGATTATGGGAACAAAATTTCGTCATCATCGGTGTCGTTGTAGCAGTTTTCGACATTAACTTTTCTTGTAGCTCGCAATGATTTATGTGTTCGACTGTTTTTATAGTTGTGTATATTAAAAGTAACCACATCGTCTCGGTCAAGTTTGATTTGAAAGTGTTTGTCATGCATAACTAATGAGGTGGTGATGCTAAAAATTTGCATTACTTGATTTTAGCCCGATGAATTATGTCCTTGCATCATAACATGTCACACACTGGATGTAACATAACAAAACTATCGGTGCCTTGCCTTTTTTTCAAAAACATAACAATAATTTCGTCTTCTAAGTTGTGTGTGGCGTTGATCTATATCCTAAAAACAGAAACTCTTTAATAATAATTAAACATTATCCTTTATAAAATTTCAAGAATATTAATGATTCTTGATAGTTTCATGAGGGTCATTTTATTTCCAGGAACATCAGAGTTTCATACGCGGCACAAAAAGCGTGGTTACAGAATGCTACATTGAAGGACAACATCTTGTTTGGTGCACCTTTCGACGTAACACGGTGAGTACTATTTATCAACATTTTCCATCTTGCATTGCTGAAAACAAATTATTGTCTGTTTTATCGATCTGTTATGTGCGGAAATAGAATAAGGAATAATAATGTTGTCATGTTGTCCCTCTAGATATAACAGTGTGTTAGACGCATGTGCACTGCGTCCCGATATTGATATACTGCCCGGTGGAGATCAGACCGAGATTGGAGAGAAAGGTATCAACCTAAGTGGAGGACAGAAACAACGTATTAGCGTAGCTAGGTGTATATACAGTAATACTGACCTCATAATATTGGTAAGTTAAGCAGGTAATTATTGTTAAATGTCTAAAGCGCACATCTTATTTTTCCGGAGATTACCTTGAGTAATACTTATTGTGACTGTTCTATACATTCTTTCTATGCACCAGTTTTATCCTATTTTATTCAGCAGCATTATTTTAATATTATTTTATATTTTAATATATTGAAATATGTAACTACTACAGGATGATCCATTGGCAGCATTGGATGTACACGTAGGACGACAACTAATGTTGGAAGGTATACTGGGAATTGTGACAAAGGAAAAGAGAACTGTAATTCTAGTTTCTCATCAGTTGCAGTATTTACAATACGCAAATAAGGTACATGTTATAAAACTCTCTCGCTGTGTTGTGATGTGTGTTGTAAAGCTCAGTGCAAGCGTATGACATATTGTTTTCTTTAAAGATTGTAGTTATGGACGGCGGTAAGCTATATAGGCAAGGAAATCTTGACGAGATTGCCACGGAAGACCCAGAGTTGTACGGACACTGGAAAGAAACGATTGTGTTACAAACTGAGTCTGAACAAGAGAGTGAAGCGGAAGAGGAGATTACTGAGTTAGAGAGAAAACAACTGATGAAGCAAGTGTCAATGATTTCGGATGACGGAACGAAACTTGAAAAAGGTTGGCATTATCATTTTTTTTTAGATTAGCTAGGGGAACTAGAGATACACAGCTTTAGGAGTGTGGCGACATTGTCAGCATACGTTTTTCGTCAGTGTATATGTAACGTAGTTGCACATTTTCTAAATTGTCGTAAAGAAGGTTGTGCATTAATTTTATTGTTTTCAAATACTCACCATCCTCTTTGGTGAATGTATTAAATATTTTAATAATATGAATTAAAGCAAATGTAAACTTTAAATCATACCCCAGAACAAACTGCTGTTTGTCTATTAGTATTAAAACTGTACGACTTTTTTTGCGTACACATTCAATCTTAGCTGGAACAACTCTGATAGAAGAAGAAGAACGAGAACGTGGCTCAGTATCTTGGAGGGTCTACCTTGCATATTCCAAAGCAATCACACTACCAGTGGTGTGCGCCATATTTATACTAATTATTCTACAAATAACTGCCATGACATTAACTAACGTTTGGTTGTCAGCTTGGTC